CCAAAACCAAAAAAACAGAGTAATTGAGGATTAGAACAGGAACACCACCTCCCGTGCCCTGTGACGTGGGCCACGGGTGTACGTCATCTCCAGGGACGAGGAACGGATTTTATGACCAGCCATTGGCGTCAGTCTGCACGTTGAGGAGAAACTTTCGTTGTGCTCAGGTGGGTGTTTGAAGCCCTGGGTTTCAAGGCCCAGTCATTCACATCTACCCTGGATGCAGGCATGCCCGAAGCTGCTGGCTGGGGTGGCTGTTGAATTTATTATGTGAAAGAAACAGCCACTTTGGGGTGCCCTGAGGTATTCAGCTGCCCGTGTTGCCCGGCCCTCTCTGGGGGCGCATACGCAGACTAGCTGTGTGAGATGGGTCACTGGGCCAGCAGTGGCCGTGGACACGTTTAAGAAGAGTAACAGCCTCAGGAAGATCTTGAGAGAGGCGTTCCCAGGGAGGGAAGCGTCACTGGCTCAGAGGACAAAGGGCAGTGGGCCTCTGGCTGACGCACGGGTGTGGAGGACGCCAGTCCTGTGCGTCCAGGCATCCTTCGTCCCCACCTGTCGGGACTACTGGCCTTCCCGTTCAGCATGCACCTCTTGAAGACCTACCTCTGTGTGCCAGAACCTCTGCTGGACAGTGGGAACATGAAAGAGGGAACGCATGGTCCCTGAGCTGCAGCAGCCCCTGGGGGAAGACACCAAAGCAGATCCTTGCCGTGGCTGCACTAGCGAGGTCCCAGGTCTTCCCTCCAGCCTGTGAACATCACCAGCAGAGAACAAGTCTCCCCCTGCTCCCAGCACAGGACTGGTACCTGAAAGCACAACATGGGCTAGTGATTGAAAATGATATACATATAAACGAATCATATGGTGAAAGTCCAAAGGAGGAAACAGCTCAGCTTACAAAGCGTTTCTGCAAGAGAAGCTTGAACTGGTCCTTGAAGACTGAAGGGTATCTACGCAGATAGCATGAAAGGGAAGCCCCAGGGGAGAAGGCTTCGTGCCTGGAAGTACAAAACAGCAGCCTGCTCGGGGGTCACAAGGAGGCCACTGTGCTCTGAGCACAGGCTCTGTGTAAGACCGGACGTCAAGAGAAGGGCCAGGTGCATGAAAGACCATGGGTGGCCCATGGGAGGCCCGTGGGAGGGTTTTGTTAGACTTCCATCTAGAAAGCCGGCTCTGAGGGAATGGGATGGCCAGACCGGCCAGGAGACTCACTGCCCAGCAGACGGCCCAGCAAGACCCCTTGCTGACTTCTCCCCTTGTCTGTGTTTGTTCGTTTATGAGTCCTCTATGGCCCTGGCACAGTATTTTACTTAAATACAATTGACCCTCAAATAAGACAGGTTCGCACTGCACGGGGTCACTTATACGTGCAGGTTTTCCAATAATACAGAACAGTCCTGTAAATGTATTCTTTCTTCTTTATGATTTTCTTAATAACATTTTCTTTTCTCTAGCTTACTTTATTATACACAGTATATTATATACAGTAAGAAAATATTATCTACAGTATTATATATACTGTACATTATATAATGTATATAATTATATGTACAGTATATAATACTGTGTTATATACAGTATATAGAGAGTATAACATACTATATTATATACAGTTAGAATACTGTATATAATGAATATAATATACAAAATATGTCTTAATCAACTTGATGTGATTGGTAAGACTGCTGGTCAATAATAGGCTAATAGTAGTTATGTTTTGGGGGGCGTCAAAAGTTATACTTGGATTTTCCACTGTGTAAGGGGTCAGCCCCCCAACCCCAACATCGTTCAAGGGTGAACCATAGGTTCTAAATACCAGTTGACTTTTTTTTTTTTCAGTTATGTGGATGTTCAGTCACTTCAGTCACTTCAATGGCACAGTTGGGTCCTGAATCCAGGTCTTCTGATTCTTCAGTTTCTTTGACATGAAAAGTTCTCCAGATGTTTAGTCAAAGAGTTTTCAGATTTGGCTTAATTCTTAAGCCTCAATTTTTCATGTCTGTTGAATTCTCACCTTCACTTCACATTGTATCAAATTTTTAACCTTTCAAAAATGTACTTTGGAACAACAGGATCAGGTGCTAGCGGGTCCTTTTCCAAGGCCCTGCTACTCAGACTAGGCTATTTTAGTAATTTGAGTGCGGAGAAGATGGTCATCCCTGCATTTTAAGACACTTTCTGTGACAATTCAGTCTTTCAACTTTTCTGATTAAATTAACACAAATACTGCTGATTGGGTTATTATTTCCATTTTTTTAATTTTTTAAAAAATGTTAAATATTTATTTTTAAACATAGAGAGGCAGAGAGAGAGGGAGACACAGAGTCTGTAGCAGGCTCCAGGCTCTGAGCTGTCAGCACAGAGCCTGAGGCGGGGCTCGAACTCATGAACCGCAAGATCGTGACCTGAGCCAAAGTTGGACGTTTAAATGACTGAGCTACTCAGGAGCCCCTGGGTTATTATTTTTACACATGTATCTGGCTTTCTAGTTTTTCTACCCATGTTTTCAAGAGCTAAATGGATACAGTAGATTTCATGGCTGATATAAGGCTAGTGAAGCACCAAGTCATAATTAATTTAGGCACCCAGTTGGCACAATCTCTAGAGAGCTGACCTTATCTTTGATGTATTCAAAGCAAGTTATTTTTACCCTGATGGCTAGGGAAGTACATAGCCACCTCCTCTCTTTGTTTTCTCCTTATTACAGAACCCATTGAGAGGTTTGATAGGGCAGCCACCGGGGTGCGAGGACAGTGGGGCACATGCCAAGAGAGGGTATCCTGCTTGGCAAGGCCACCCAGGGTCCCTGGGATGGCTCCGTGGCTGTGTAATTGTTATTCTAGGTAGAAGAGCTGTCCTCAGCAAAGAGGTAAAGCGGAAGGCTGCTCCTTAGTCTTCCCATTTCCCTGCCCTCTACACCGCCTTGTCTGCCTCAGGTGTTCTTGAACTCTCTGTCCTTTCCTTCTAGAACCTGCTTGTAGAACTTTAATTTTCCATGAATAGAAAATGGCTGATAACCACTCACAATGCCCCCTCTCTACCACTTGGATTGGTATTTTTACAAATACCAAACTTAGGCCAAAGGGCAAGGGGCAGATTTTCAGGCCTCCATTCTCCTGTTAAAGAAGATTGGGGTGAAGGGTGAAGGGCCCCTGAAATCATGACGCGTGAGTGGTGGATTCTGTCGGAGCACGGAGGCAGGAAGAAAGTGCACTTCTGCAGATATCACCATACCTCAGGAGTTTCTTCGACCCTGATGCCAGACTGTACCCCCACCAATGAAATCAGCCTCCCTGAGGGCAGGACTGAAATATCAGGAGTTTTGGAAGCTCTTCCTGTAACTCCTGCCCAGGCTGTTTGTGGGGGCCCCTGTGGGTGTTGGGACTCATACCATTTGGGAAATGTATCACATGTTGCAACTATTGCAAAATTGTGTGACCTTTCAGTGTGTGTGAAGTAAAATACAGCTACCTTTAAAGTTACCAGCTCTGTTTCGAGACCACCATGAAGTTTCCCAAGATTTCCTCCAGCCCCTAGGGTCTTCTCTAGCTGTTTATCTGCTCCAGAGTCTCTTGGCGAAGCCCTTAGATAGTCTTGCTACTCTCCATCCCCCCATGGCCTCCTGTGCTGGGCTGCACAGGCAGCTGCCCCCAACTCTTCCTGACAGGGCTCACAGGGCTGAGGGGCCTAGAGGAGAATAAAACTGGATGTTTTATCTTCCTGTAGAGCAGGGGTTCTCAACCCTGCAGCACTTTACAATCACCCCAGGGGCTCGATTCTGATTTAATGGGTCTGTGGCAGGGTCCATCCATTAGGGGAATTTAGAAAGCTCCTTGGGTGGTTCTAATGTGAACTCAGAGACAAGAACCAGATTTGTAAGATAAAATGAAACTTTAAAAAAAAATACAGGGTTGCCTGAATGGCTCAGTCGTTAAGCGTCCGACTTCGGCTCAGGTCATGCTCTCACCCCGTTCGAGCTCTGGGCTGACAGACAGCTCAGTGAGTTCGAGCCCCGCGTCGGGCTCTGGGCTGACAGCTCAGAGCCTGGAGCCCGCTTCAGATTCTGTGGCTCCCTCTGTCTGCCCCTCCGCTGCTTGCACTCTGTCTCTGGCATTGTCTGAAAAATAAATAAACATTAAAAAAAGTTTTTTAATTAAAAAAATATATATTTGTATTTTTTTTCAACATTTAAAAAACTGGTTCTAGAAGATAATGAAAGATGCTGGTCAGACAATAAACAAAATGTAGAGATTATTTTTTAAATATATTTTTAAATATATCTATTTTGAATATATATGTATATATATTTTTTGAATATATATATGTATGTTTATATATATATATATATACACACACTCACACACACATATATATACATATGTATTATATATTCCCCTCATCCAATACCTGGTATTTTTGAGGAGGCCAATGTGCAAGGTGGGAGATTCTTAAGCTGGATTTGGAATGTACCATCAGAGAAGGATCTTGATGTCAGTATCCCCCACTGTGTTAATTAGGGCAGCACTAGCTGCTGTAACAAAACCCAGACCTTCAGAAATTTAACACTGGGAATTTGGTGTCCATGTAGCAGTATGGAGGGGGAAGAGATCGGAGAGGCAGCCGTCCTCTGCACATTCAGGATCCCCAATTTTTGGTTCCCCAGCGGCCCTGCGGGGAGAGGAAAGAGTGGGCGGGTCTCCGCGGGGAGGGACCCATTGGCTGGGCCTGGCCATGTGTGTTCGAGCCTCATTGGCCAGAACTCAGTCACGTGGCCGCTGCCTGTGTGAACTATTTTGGGCATCCTCAGCCCTGGCAAGGAGCTGGAAGGCGGTGGGATGGCAGGTCCTCTTGGGTGTCTGGCGTCGGGTGCCTCCCAGAAAGGCCAGGTGTGGCTGCTCCCTTGGAAGTGCAGACTCCAGGCCTCCTAGGGGTGGGAGCCTGCAGCCGATAAGTGATTATATTAAGGGCTTGCACTCTTTTTCTTCTTTTGTCCACAGATATCGCAAACGGCACCAGTTCAGGGGGGTACCGCCCACCTCCCAGAACCAAAGAAGTCATCATCAATGGCCAGACTGTGAAACTTAAATATTGTTTCACCTGCAAGATTTTCCGGCCCCCTCGTGCCTCTCATTGTAGCCTTTGCGATAACTGCGTAGGTGAGTAGAAGCAGAGATTGACTCGGTTCCACCTCTCGGGCAAGTGGTAAAATGTCTGTAGCTGACGGGGGAGGCTGATTTCCCTGGTGTAGACTGTGCTAAAGAGAGTCAGCACGGGTGTCTCTTTAATCCTCCGAAACTGAACAACTCAATAATGGTTAATATTTCAAGTGCCTCCCGCCACGGAGCCCATTCACCAAGCCCGGTGTTCCCAAGTCTCTGTTTTTTCTTCTTACATCCTCCAGCACCCCCGCTGTCGGTGCAGCTCCCTGGGCCGTCTCCTGCAGGTGCACACACCCCAGAGTGGGGGTTCTTTGTTCCCTGGAGCTGCCGGATCAGCAGGCACTAGAAATGATTTTACCCCCAAGTCCCTCCATTGCCCAAAGGGCTGGCTGCACATGGAGCCCGATGTGCTTAGTGATGTTCTTCTGAGTCCTCAGAGGGGCAATGAGCTGGGGAACTGGAGGCATTTGAAGCCTCAGGAGAGAAAAAGAGGCAGAGGCCAGAAGACTTCCAGGCCTAAGTTAGGATCGTCGTTCTTCCCGGAGACCACCAAGGCCTTCCCTGTCTGTCCACTGGCTTTCTCCAGGACGGACTGGAGAAACAGGCGGAGGGAATGTGTAGCACAGAGGTCATCAGTGGTGAGATGTGGCTCTACTGCTCCACCAGCTCCGCCCTAGTACAAGAGTTTACAACGGCCGTGGGTCCCAGCCCCTTGGGATTAGTCGGCAATCACTTCCTGTCACTTCCGATGGAGAGCTGCTTGCCACACCCACACACCGTCTTCTGTCCTGGGCTGGAGCTTCTTAGAGATGAAGTTGGCAAGGAGGTGGTAGAAGTCCCAAGTCACAGGAAGGGTGATCACACAAAGGCTCTGCCCACGGGGAAAGACCCTCATTTCTCCAGCCCCATAGCCTGCCTCTAATAGAAAACGACCAAGGGTAATTCTGGGCTTTAGGCACAGGAATCCTCTGTTAGCTCAGAACAAACCTGTTTCCCCTCAGCATCATCAATGGCCAACACTCTTTCTGAGTCTATTGGATTCCTCTTCTTGAGGAAAATGCAAGCTTATAATGTACTTCTGCTGTGCAAAGCTGTTTTCCTTTTGTCTGAAATTCACTTTATCCTAACTTTAAAAATCTGCACTTTGGTGGAAAGTCCATGTTTTCCCCATCAGGCCTTGTCTTGATTTTATTAACTTAGATGAATTACTTTTAGCCTTTGCTCTCCCAGCAGAACAGAATGGAATTTCGTTCAGTCTTTTCCCATTTTGCAAGTAGCTCGAGTTAAGAGCTGTTAATCTGGCACTGGATGGCCTGGGTACAAATGTTAGTTTCGTGTCTACTTAAACTCTCTATCCCCGGTTTTCTCATCTGTACAATGGGTTGATAAGAGTAACTACTAAATGAGATGGTTGAGGGATTAAATGAATCAATATAAGGAAAACACTTAGAATAGTAGCTAGCATATAGGTTCCATAATTATCGCTGCTATTCTGTTATTACTTCTGCCCCCTTGCTATTTTTGATTGGCTTTCTCTGGATAATTTCTTGATCTACTGTGGCCCTCTGTGGGGGCGATGACCAAAACTACACCTGGTCATCTGTGTAGGGGCACACCAGTGTTCCTACAAAGACACATGACAACCGTTGCTAGGTTTCTGATCTGCTTCCTGGTGACGTCAGCCATCCCGTGCACATCTTGAGGACACTTTTAAGCCAGAGCATTGCGATGGCTTGAATATCTGCAGGGAATAATCTCTAAGGATTCTCAGGACCCTTTCTTGGGTCATAATTTTGATATCACATGATGGAATGTGATATGATGGAATAGTATATAGCATACACTTTTCATATAAGCTCTTCTGTCAACTTTGCTTGCCTTCTCCTGGAGGTCCAGCGACTTATTCCACTAGGCATTTCTAGGTAGGGGGTTGTTATCTGCAAAGCCATAGAGTTTACTGGGAACCTCCTTCTCATTATCATTTATAAAAATATTTACCCATTTCTAGACATCTGACTGTTCATTTATTCATTTGTACCATTTGGTCCCAATCTTCTGTTTCCTCTCTCTAGGCTAGACTCCTAATCGTGGTAAGACTTCCTCCCAGCTCCTAGTGCTTTAAAATTCTCTTTGGATTATTGTAAAACACTTTCTAAAAGTTCATAGAATTGTCTTAGTCATTCCCTCCAACACCCATAGGTGTTCATACATGTCCCTTAAAGAACCTGATGAATTAGGGGTGCCTGGGTGGCGCAGTCGGTTAAGCGTCCGACTTCAGCCAGGTCACGATCTCGCGGTCCGGGAGTTCGAGCCCCGCGTCAGGCTCTGGGCTGATGGCTCAGAGCCTGGAGCCTGTTTCCGATTCTGTGTCTCCCTCTCTCTCTGCCCCTCCCCCGTTCATGCTCTGTCTCTCTCTGTCCCAAAAATAAATAAATGTTGAAAAAATAAAAAATAAAAAAAAAAAAGAACCTGATGAATTAGATGTAAAATCCCCTTACCAAAAGTATATATCAACCTCAGTTAATGGTGTACTTCTCGCAGAGTATAACTTTAAGGTAGTACAATGTCTTATAGAAACCAACAGCTGAGAAAATAAGAGCTATCAGTCTTTAATACCTAGGAGCCCTTCTGCAGCCTTTTTTTAAATCTTATTTATTTATTTATTTATTTATTTATTTATTTATTTATTTATATATTTGGAGAGAGACAGAGAGAGAGTCTGCAAGCAAGGGCGGGGCAGAGAGAAAGGGGGAGAGAGAATCCAAAGTGAGCTCTGCACTGACAAGGAGCTGAAACTCATGAACTGTGACATCATGACCTGAGCCGAAATCAGGGGTCAGACACTTAACCAACTGAGCCACCCAGGCGCCCCATGAAACCTTTCTGATAAATCCAAGTAACAGTAGCAATCCAGCACTCCACAATAAGCGTGGTGGGGTCCTATAATCGGGAGGCACAGAACAGCAAAGGGAAAAGAGAGGAAAGGGGAAGGTTTGGGAGTGGGCTCAAGAGGGGGGAAACTGGCCAACATCTGCCTCTCAGCATCATTTGATGGCCCTGGGGCTGGAGTTTGGCACACCCTGATCAGGGTCCCACTGTGCAAATGACAGGTGAGATAAGTAGCATATTTGACTTAAAATAAAGCTACTCTCAGCCCTCCTGGAACAACCACACAGTGATTCACACCTACGTAGCTTCGGTTTTCCGGTTCATTGTGCTACATTTGGGCCTTTGGTGTGATCCATTAGCAGACAGTAAATTGGACTTCCTTCTGCATTTGGGAAAATAGAGTGGAAAGCAAACGTCTCCAACTGAGAAGTGTAATTGCAGAGTTTGCCACGATTTTATTTTTAGATAGAAAGTTTTTGTTGAAAGAATTCTACTTTTTGCAGCCGGGGAGAAAAATACAATGATACGCTGAAAGCCAGAGTTAGCACATGTGGCTTCCCTTCCCTTGTAATGAGCAGGTTTGGGTTGGTTCTTCCTAGGTACACAAATAAATGCCACTTTACGCTGGGAGAAGAGAGAGGAAAAAATGGAGTTTCCCAGGCAGTTCAGAAGAATAGTTTTCTTTGTTAAATGTGTTTGAAATGAGAGCAAACTTATAAAGGCTCTGTATTTTTAGTTGAGGACTGAGGGAAAGCTTTCGTGGAAAGCAAACTCTGGCGCAAATATAGAATGGGTCAGCGGGGCCTAGTAGTTGGCAACTTGACTCTAACGCGCACAGACTCGGGCCTGGATCCGGGTCCTGTCAGTGGATGATATTGGTACATGAGTAGGTTATCTGACTAACCCCCAACTGTTACCACGTCTATAAAATGGATGACCCTAGTACTTTTCCTCATAGGTTTCTTTTAAGGATTAAGTGAAGCTGTGCCCAGCAAGGACCCAGTATAGACCTGGTGCACACTGTGGGGGGCTCAGTGCTTGCCATCAGTGTTATTGTGGATAACCAGGAAAATGTTGCCATAGTGCTCCCAAAATAACTGCATAGAACAAGGTTCATGGAGGGATAGGAATCACCTTGTTTCCGTGTAATCTGGTTTGATTTATTTGACCTGCAGTCCTAGAAGTGAATATATTCTTTCTCTCTCTCATTTTGTCTCTGTTTCTGTCTCTTTCTCTCTCAAAACCTTTCCCTGTCTCTCACTAGTTCTCTTTCTCTGTTGCCATTACATTGCTTCTGCATGTACGGAACTGAGTATTTTGGTGTGTTTGTTCAGCCAAGCGATCTTCGAAGTTATAAAATATTTAAAAAAATTTTTTTTCAATGTTTATTTATTTTTGAGAGACAGAGTATGAGTAGGGAAGGGACAGAGAGAGAGGGAGACACAGAATTCAAAGCAGGCTCCAGGCTCTGAGCTGTCAGCACAGAGCCCGACGTGGGGCTCGAACCCACGAACTGTGAGATCATGACCTGGGCCGAAGTCGGACGCCCAACCAACTGAGCCCCCAGACGCCCCTAAAATATTTTTAAACGACCAACATCTGGGGCCATGGGGCCACTCCTGCTATCTCTGATCCTCAGGCTCCCTCAGGTCTTTATTAAAGTGAGAGTAACTGCAGGTGCTGGAAAGCCAACTGTACGCTCAGGAAGTCCTCTCAAACTCACTGTGTACATCCCAGCGCCCCAAGTCAGTCCCACATTTCAGGAAGTCTGTCCTTTGATGGGCTCTGGTCTAGTGTCAGAATTACCAGCAGCTTTCACTGGAATTGGGTATTTTTAATACAACCTAAACCTGTAATTAAAAGGGACTTATTTGAAATTAGTTTAATCACACACTGTGGACTGGGTCGAGTTTGCTAAACGATTAGATGGCACATGCAAGCCTCTGTAAGCCTGCTCTACATGAGTGTGTCTAGCTTTGACCAGGCAGAAGGCAGCTTAACCTGACGGGCAGAGGTGGCCTCTGGAGGCAGCAGTTCCCTGGGTCCCAAACCTCCTGCCTTGTCTGGGCAGGGAGGACCCTCTCTGCATTTGCAGTGACACATCTGGA